CGGCTTCATGTAAGTTTTTACCCTCTGTAGGGGAAACGAGTGCAGTTCCCTCAACATCACCTGAGATCACTACTTGTAAGTATAATTTATGAAATTTTTACTTCATATGCTAGTGATAGCTGTATATTTTTACCATCCTATTTCTTCTTGGGAAGAGAGGTTGAGTTTCCTGGTTATGTCCTGGCCCATCTCAGCATCACAGAGTCACAGGGTGCCTGAGTTTGATCTCACTCAGTCCTGCCAGGTTACAGTGTCACTGTGGGTCTCGGGTTGATGTGTCCCGGGGTTGCCTTTGGTGAGGCGTCACTCCCATTGGGCTCTTCATCTTTGGGAAGCGCTGCTCGCTCACCTGTTGCTCTCTCCCTGCAGCGCCAGCTACCTCCAGCGCGACGCTGACTGACTCATGGACCGCAGGTAGGTGTGGAGGGGCTGAATGGTCTGATGAGTTCCTAGCCCTTCTCAGGATCACAGAATCATAGGGTGGCTGAGGTTGGAAGGGACCTCTGCAGGTCATCTAGTCCAAGCCCCCTGCTAAGCCGCTGCTGGCTCATGTTCAATGTGGTGTCCACAAGACCCCCAGGGCCTTTTCTAGACAGCTGCTTCCCAGCTGGCGGCCCAAAATTCTTACTGGATGTCTTCTGGTCCAACTCCTCTGCTAAAGCAGAGCGACCTAGATCTGACCGCCCAAGACTGTGTCCAGATGGCTCTTCATCCGCTCCAAGGACAGGGAATGCATCACTTGTGTGAGCTACTTGTGCCCATGGTCAGTTGCTCTCACGGTGAATAAGTGTCTCCTGATTTTTAGGTAGAATCTGTACAGAGCATCTAGGATGGAAAGGCTCATGTGCAGAGGAATTGCTCTGTCTTGGCTGTAGCCAAAGAGAGGAATGTTATTGCTCATAGTTTTGTGGTATATTCCTCCTCATTTTTTACCAAAGCACCTACCTACTGTAGGTGACCCTGCTTCGGCAGGAGGGTTGGACTAGATGACCCACAGAGGTCCCTTCCAACCCCTACTATTCTGTGATTCTGTAACAGTGCCTCTATTTCTCCCAACACAACAGCGCAGGTGATTCCACACCAGTGTGGTCACTTATTTCTTTGCAGCTGAGCAGGAATTCCGGAAGTGTTCTGGAAGCATTGTTTTCAACTGCTTCTGAAGTATCATTATTCCTTTGATTCCTACTTCAGCTGTTTGGTCAAGCACACCATTTAAAGATAGCACATATTTAAAAAGTTTATTTATTTACTTAGTTAATGTTAGGTCAGTTAGTGAGACAAGGTCTTTTTTCATTTTTGCTAGAAGCTGAAAACAGAACTTGAAAATATCTTAACCCCCCTGTAGATCTATCTATGCAGGTATCTTGTTCATAAATATTTATAAAAGATATATTTATATAATAAATATAATTTAAAAGGTCATGTCCATTTACACATTTCTCTTTTCTTGGAGTAGTTGGAACTTATACTGAAATGTATCCTAGAAATCCACAACTTTATTTTACTTCTTAGATCTGGATTCCCCTGTTATTTGATTAGGCTACAACTGATCTATATATAATCTTACACAATTTTTTGGCTGTGACATAAGGTCCTCATGTTTATGAATTTCATATTTGTCAGCTTTCTTATTCAGAAACAAAATAATAATGATCTTTTTTTCCCTTCTCTTTGGTAATTAGCAATTTTAATGGAGATGAACAAGGCTCAACTGTGATTTTTTTCTCTTTCAAGGAACAGCTGGACCAACCTCTGGAGGTCCAGCCCCACTGATTGTGCAGCTCTGTGGCAAATACTCTATCATGTCTGTGCAGACATGGAAGATCAGCATTACAAAAGTTGTTAAACGTGCTTAGCATCTCCTAAGCTGCATTCAGATGAGATATGAGCCTAATAGAAAGGCCAATGAAGCTGGTAGAAGTTACTGTGTCTAAATTTTAGACCTCTAAATTCTACACAGACATATTCCAAAAGCAACCTTAAATGGTGTATATGTATATTTTTCTTCTCATGTTTTTTTCTGCAGGAGACTATTTTTGTGGCAGCTTGCTTTCCTCTCCCTCTGGGACATTACAGACTCCATTTTACCCCAGAAATTATCCGAACAATGCCAACTGTGTTTGGGAAATAGAAGCAAAGAGCAACTATCGTGTTACACTCACATTTAAAGATGTTCAGTAAGTAAAAATATATTACTTGAGAAGGTCATGTATGGGATCGACATCTTGGACTTACTAAACTGACAGCTGCTTAATTTCAAGGATTTTTTTGAAACTTTTAGTATATCTGGATGAAAAATGTATTCATTTTTGTTTAGTTAGTCAATAATGTGCCTGTGCACCAGAATTTGGAAGGTGTAGTTTCTGTTCCAAAGACTTAATAGTCATATTACTAAAATGTACTCTTTTGCTATGAACAGTTAATCCAAGATAAAAAAATAAAAAAGAGAAAAGACATTTTTTAAAAAATGGAGCGTTTAATTAAGCAGTCATGTTTGCTCCCCAGGATGGAAGGCGGCAGATGCCTGTCTGACTATGTGGAAGTCTACGATGGGCCGCTCTATACTTCTCCTCTCCTTGCGAAATTTTGTTCTGGTTCTTATCGCACTTACACATCGTCCTCAAACCTGCTGACTGTCCGATTCTACAGTAACTCTCGGCACACCTACAGAGGGTTCCAGGCTGACTATTATTCCACAGTAGCAGATCAGAGCATTAGTAAGTTCATGTTCAAAATAAAAATCTATTTCTCAACTATTTGCTAATTCACTGATTGTTAATCTCGTACCACTTCAATGAGTCACTCATTTCACGTTATTTAAAATTAGATCTGTAGCATTTTATAGAGATAAAAGTATATGGTTTGGATTCTGAACTACTTCTGCAATATCAGCTGCTTGTGCGAAAGATGTTGTTTATTTAAGAATAATCTTTTTTAGTCACTTTATTGAGCTTGTAACATATTTACTTTGCCTTCTGCTAGCCCTGTTGTGTTTGCCAGACTACATGCAAGCAGGTGTGAGCAGAGACTACCTTCAGTCACAAGGCTACTCGGCTTGGAACCTCTCCTTGAATGACCCCTATTGCAAACCCAACATTACATCGAAGTATGTTATATTCGACATACCATACACTCACTGTGGCACAGTGAGAAAGGTATGACTTTAAATGTTTCAAGAGAATGTGCAAATATTATGAGTGTGTAAAAATTCAAACTGAAGACTTCACTTTGAAATCCAGCGTAAACTGAAAGCTATAATGGTGTCTGCAGGGACTGGAAGTGTCCTGGTGACTACAGGCTCTCTCTCTCCCTCTCCCGAGGTTTATTAATACTCATATTTCCTGCATCTGCTGCCAGAGTGGTCACTTCTAGCCTGTGATCTTCTAAGAAATAAAGTGTGGGAGGGAACAAATGCTTGGGGATTTTCAAGGTCCCAAGGTGAGCGTGGTGGTTAAAAAGGTCTCAAAGCCTCTACTAAATATGACCAATTGTAGATTAGGACAGATTTAAGCTTAAACACTGTACTGGACCAGATCCTTTAGGCATTTGGTATTTGAAGAAATGTACAGGTTGTATTTAATTAGTTATGTCTGCGAGTAGTGTGAGTAGATTTCTAGGTCCAC